CTTCAAGTAGACTCAATCTCCTACCTAGAACTGTCTACTAGTTCTCTTTTTATTAGCTTGATCGACGATCCTCCATTGAGATCTTCCCAAGTAAAATTTCAAACAATTGTAATTTCAACTCCCTTGTGGTCAAACTTCTATCCACCTCTACTACATCTGATTCACCCTGGATATATGGTAAGTACAAAGGTGGAGGTTGCCCATACAAAGCTTCATATGGGGTTGTTTGGATGGAAGTGTGGAAGGTGGTATTGTACCACCATTCTGCGAGGGTTAAGTGTATGCACGTGATTTTTGCCCTATATGAATTACTCCCATAAATTCAAAATAAAATAATTTTTCCTATTGTTTGCAATTTTTGTGGCATTTTTCGTTTATTGTTTGCATTTGTCTGCGCATATTAATTTTGTTTAATTAATGAAAAATACAAAATATCACGCATTGTATTTAGGATTTAATTTTATATTTTTTAGATTAATTAGTAAATTAGTTTGTTTTATAAAATATGAAAATCACAAAAAATAGTTTATTTTTGCATTTTTGCTCTTTAATTTTGAATTTTATAGTTTTTCTTTAAATTTAGGATTTAATTAATTATTGTAAATACTATGATGAGTGATTAATCTAATTGGGTAGGTTAATTTAGTTTAAAAATTAATTTAGGATTTTATTTTTAATTTGAAAAGAAAGAATTTGAAATTGAAAAAGAAAAAGAATTGAAATAAAAGAAAAATCCAACTTTTGGGCTGTTACAATTGAGTTTGTCCCAGGCCCAAGTGTTAAACACCCATTACCCATTCAAATTGCCCCACACCCAGCCCAGTCCAGTAAAACACCCGATCCGGTTTTCCCCTTCATCGAAACGACCCCGTCCCACTTAAAATGAATCTGGACCGTCGAGGTTTTCCAGATCCAACGGTGGAGAAGCTAGGATCTTCTGGTATAAAAATGTCCTAACTCACCCCCTACCCCCTCTCATCGTCCCCACACACCCTCAGAGAACCCTCACCGCCTCCGCTGTGAGTCGCCTGCCGGAAATCGTCTCCGCCGGCGGCGTTGGTCCAATCACTACCAAATTAACACCATAGATTCCCCTCCTTCTCCTCTTCCCAAATCTCCAAACCCCCTCCCTCGAATCCTACTGGAACTCGTCGAATCTTCAATCGAAAGTCAGACAAAAAACCTAATTTCTCCCAAATCACTCCAAATTGACACCACAGAACCACCACGACCCCCTTATACCTAATCCATCACTGGTTTCCCTCGAATCTGTCCAGAACTCCTCAAATTTTAAATCCGAGTTCGAGCCCTATAAGTTCAAAACCAACTTTCGGTGAACCTGGTGGCATGCATTGACCCAGGCTTGTGTTTTTCACGATTAGGAGGCTGATTCACTACAAAACTGATGCTGATCGTTTGTTCTTGACAAAGAACAAGTGATTGGCATCAGTTTCGTGTAAGTCAGGATATCAAGTACGGTTTCAAGTTTAGTCGGTGAGTTCCCTCCCTTTTCCGCCCAGTTTTTTTTAGTCTTATTTATCCTATTAGTCCTTTCTTGTCTTTTCCCTTTCTTTGGTTGAAACTCGACCAATTTTCTGAACCTAGATTGAGTAGTGTCCGTTCGTTCCATTTTAGTTTTCTTTTTCAAATCTTGTTCTCGGATTTTCTTGGCCTGCATAGTTTTATCATTAGCATGATTAAGTTTCTGATTTCACCTTTTGTTTAGTCCTTAGTTAATTTAATTAGGTTTATTTTGATAACTTAGTCAATTTCCTGTTCGATTAGTGTAAGTTTGGTTTCAAAATCATTTAAGTGTCTGCCCTCAATTTGTTGACTGATTTGATTTGGCTCATTTTGTTGTTTGGGTTTTGAAGCCAAATCAGAATTTCCCTAAGGGGTTGATTTAGGCCATTGGGTTAGCATTGAGCCCACGTTTGGCTTAACTACTAGGTCAATTCAACCCATGACCCATATCTGTCTGATTTTAGGGGTAATAACATGGTGCTTAAGGGGTAAAATAGGAATTGTGGGTGGGGAATCTCATGGTAACTGAACTAGGAAGCTTCCTAGAAGCTGGGGTGGGAGGCTGTTGTGTTAGTTAATAAGTACATTAAGGGTAGTTCAGAAAAAGAAAAACTAGCCAAGGACTAAGTAGCAAAAACCAAAATTCACAAAGGGCCTAAGTGTAGAAATTATTTCCTTAAGGCTGCCCTACTTGCTTTGCCTATAAAGGCATTATTTCTTGTCTTTCAAGGCAGAGTTTAAGAGACAAAATACAGAAAAACAAAGACAGATGAAAAATTTGATAAAAAATCATTGTTCCATTGAATTTCTTCTGGGATTCTTGAGTTTTTTTTGTGTTTATTTTTCTGAAGTTATCTTTGATTCACATGGGGCTGAAGATGGTTTAATTTGGGTTTTTGAAAGCTAATTCTGAGCTGAGTTTATGTTTGGAGTCCTGCTTCAATTCGAGTTTGGTTTTTGAGTCTGCTGTGTGTCACTACTGGTTTGAGCAGAAATTGGTTGCGTTCTTGTGACACTGTTTCATTACTGGGTTTAAGCTGTTCTGCCACTGTTTGTTCACTGATCCTTTCCTTGTTTTCTTTTTATTCCCAGGTACACTTTTCTGAATTCTACACCATGTGAAGTCTGACTTAAAGTGTGAAATGAAGTTTGAAAATGTCGAGCATGGCTTCAGCATGTACGGATCCTTTAATTTAGTTTTATTTCGTCTAGATTACATGTTTACTCAATGTACTGAATGTTTATTATGAGGGCTGTAGTTAATTTGTCTATGATATGATATGAAATTATGTTTGGCAAAGCCTTCATAACTAGTTGTGGGGTTTGAAGTTCTTGTTGTGGTAGCTAATCATGAACTGTGAAGAAGAAAATTTGACGAAAACTTGTGAATTGGACCCTTAGTTGGGTTCTGTACTAAGCATGTTAGCATAAAGTAGGTTGTGTTGGACCTCTTATTGCTTCGCAAGTTAATTGTTATTTCAAGTTATTTGGAATGAGGATTTAAGGTGAGTGAGATGGGACGTAGAGAAACATATGTTTATACATGTATGCTGAATTTGAAATCATGTTAGTATACAGATTAGTGAGTAAATTGCTTGTGTATAAGGGTTTGTGGTTACAGCTTGGATAGTCAATTGAATGATGCTTAAATTTATGTGTTTGTTTGTCTCGAGCAATTGGAGATACATTTGTTTATAATGCTGAAATCCAATAGCTTATTTGTGGGTTGATTTCATCATGGCCATTTGGAGCCTAGTTTCTATGTTTGAATTGGGTTGGGCTCAACAGCGACTCGGTCTATGGTCAGTACGTTAATGTTCATTTCTTTGTTAGACTTGGGCTCAACTTGGGCCCAAAGCCTTGAAATCATTTGGAAACAAAGAAAAATGGTAATCTTTGGCTATATGTGTGCTTTCTTGCTGATGGCCGGTGTTGGCCCAAACTCTTTCTAATGACTGGCCCACTTCCCCATTGTTACAAATCGCTAAGTCTGGTTTCTTGAAAACGATTCAAAAATTTCCTATGTCGTTTAATCAATTAACCAAGCCCCTTAATAATTGAGGTGAGTCATATTATAGGATACAAATAGTTTATGTCCCTCAAGCATTTAGTTTGAATTTCCTTAAGATTAGAAGTGAGGTGCGCCATGTCAAACAAAGAGGACAATTACATGGCCCTCATTTAATTAACTTTGTTTTAACTCTTTAGAATTCGAGGCGTGCCACTTAGTGAAATTTTCGTGGCCCTCACAAAGCTAAGAAAACGTGTAGTTGCTTTAGACGCGTTATTTTAATAATTTACCTTCCTAAATTCAGGTGCATTATGTGACTCAAATCCAAATCTCAACAACGTTAGATAAAATATGTTGCGGACCATGGGTGCATTTATGTGACGTGGTCCAAGACGTATATTTGATAACGTTGAATTTTTCTTAAAATTAATTGAACAAAGGCGGTTATAAAAGTTAAAATCTGCACATAGGTTCATAATTAAGCCGAATATAACAGTTGAGCGACCGTGCTAAAACCACAAAACTCGGGAGTGTTGTTATCTCCCGGGTTAACAGAATTTCTTGCTCGGATTTCTGGTTCAGGGGCTGTAATACAGAGTCAACCTTTTCCTCGATTCGGGATTTGAACTGGTGACTTGGGACACCATAAAATTATCCCAAGTGGCAACTCTGAATTCTTAATATAAATGAATCCCGTTTCGATTGTCCTTTAATTGGAAAAACTCCCTTTATACCCTTCCGGGGGTGTAGGTAAAAAGGAGGTGTGACATTAAGTACTGAACCCAATCCTTGGGAGAATCAGAACAATAGCACCTCAGATATATCTCTAGACACCTGTTGATGACCTCAGTTTAACCATCAGATTGAGGATGGTAAGTGGTAGATGTATTTAAGATCACTCCTTGCATTGCAAATAGTTCTTGCCATAATTTAATAGTAAAAACTGGATACCTATCACTAACAATGTCTTCTGGCATTCCATGTAACTTAAATATATGATCCATGAAGAGTTTGGCAATGTCCATAGCAGTATAGGGATGTGACAAGGCAACAAAATGGGCATACTTAGTCAATCTATCTGCTACCACTCATATGACTTCTTTTCCCTTGGACTTAGGTAAACCTTCAATGAAGTCTATGCTAATGCTACTCCAAGCTAAATATGGAATTTGAAGAGGTTGTAACAAACCAGGATATGCTGATTTGTCATACTTATTCCTCTAATAAACATCACACTTTTTAACATATCCTCCACATCTGCCTTCATTCCCTTCCAGTAAAAAAGAGTCCAATCTCCTATAAGTGTGGTCAATACCAGAGTGACCTCCACTTACAGAGTCATGCCAGAGGTGATGAATCTCCTTCCTCAGAGTAGAGTCAGCTCCCACAATTAATCTCCCATTCTTCCTCAACTATTGGTTAATGTATGAATACCCTTTCACCTCCCTACTGAATCCTTCACTTTCTAAATGACCTCCTTTACTGTTGGATCAACATTCCAGCTATCACTAATGGCTTGCAAGAGATTGGTCCTCATTACTGAAAGTGTGAGAGCAGGAATCTTAATTGTTGTAATCCTAAAAAGTGCATCTGCAGCTTTGTTTTCCTGGCCCTTCTTGTATTGGATTTCAAAGTCAAACTGCATCAACGTTGTTATCCATTAAGGTTGTGCCCCTATATGTAGCTTTTGATCAAAAAGGAATTTAAGAGCTTTTTGATCAGTTTTGATAATAAAATGCCTACCAATCAAATATTGGCCCCTTCTTGTAACTGCCATGACCAATGCTAATAGCTCATTGTCATAAACAGACATAGCCTGATGTTGTGGAGATAGGCTTTGCTCAAATAGGCAATGGGATGCCCTTGTTGCATTTTTATAGCCTCAATGCCTACATCACATGCATATATTTCCACTACAAAGGTGAGGGTGAAGTCTGGCAAAGCAAGTACTAATGCAGAAATCGATGCATCTTTAAGTTTTGGAAAGCTAAAGTAGCTTGATCACCTCACTTGAAACTGACCTTCTTCAGCAAATTAGTTAGTGGTTTGCTAATCTGCCCATATCCTCTAATAAACCTTCTGTAATAGCCAGCCAATCCTAAGAATCCCCTCAATTGCTTAATAGTTACAGGTATTGGCCAATGTTGAATTGCCTGTATCTTCTTAGGGTTGGTAGAGACGCCATTAGTAGAGATAAAATGCCCCAAATACTCTATGCTGGCCACAACAAACTGACATTTGGATTTCCTAGCATAAAGTTGATGTTGTATTAGAAGACTAAAGGTCATTCTCAGATGCTCACCATATTCCTTAACACTCTTACTGAAAATAAGTATATCATCAAAGAATACCAAGATAAACTTCCTCAAATGCTCATTAAAGACATGATTCATCAATCCTTAGAAACTAGATGATGCATTAGTTAAGCCAAATGGCATTACCAGGTATTCATAATGGCCGGAGTGTGTTCTGAATACTATTTTAGGGACAACAGCAAGTGTCATCCTTATTTGATGATATCCTGACATGAGATCTATCTTGGAATAAATATGTGATCCACCTAATTCATCCAACAACTCTTCTATGATGGGTATTGGGTATTTGTCTTAATGGTGATCTGATTGAGGGCTTTGTAGTCTACACAAAGTCTCCAATTTCCATCCTTCTTTCCCACCAATACAACTGGAGAAGCAAAATGACTGCAGCCGTGTTGTATCAGTCTTTGTGACTGCAATTCCTGCACCATTTTCTCAATTATATCTTTCTACAATGGAGAGTACCTATAGGGTCAATTGTTAACATGATTTGTTCCCTCCTTCAAGGGAATGTGATGATCAAATTGTTCTCTGGAAAGGGGAAGCTCTTTTGGTTCTTGGAATACTTCTTCATTTCCCTGCAGAACCTGCTGAATTTACATTGGTTCTATATCCTTCTGTCTTGCCTCTTTCACCTCTTTAGGAGTCACTTTAATCATGAACAACCCCCTATTCACTTTCTATAAGGAATAAGAATCTATCATCTTCAACTTGGGATTCATTCCTTGCAATGAGAAAAACTTTCCTTCATACTCGAACTTTATAGTTAACATCTTGAAGTTGAACATTTGTCCCCTAACTAGCTGAGCCACTGAACTTCTATTACCATATCACATGTCCCTAGGGGCAGCAAATAAAAAATCAGCTTTGAAGAGAGTATCGTGTAGGAGCCACTCTAGTCCTCTACACATGCCAAATATGGGAACTTTATTACAATCTGCTAGGTTTGCATCTAGCAGGTTATATGGGTCTACTCTCCACCCCATATTTGATACAAATCCACTGTCCATAAAGTTATGTGTTGATCCAGTATCAATCAAGATATTCAAGGGTCTCCTGTGAGAGTATCCCATGAGTCTCAAAGTTTTATAGCCTGTGGTACCATGCAAGGCATAAATAGAGATCTCACATGTTTATGTTATCTCTTCTACATTGAACACCTCTTCTTCTAACTCTTCTGGTATTAATTCTTCTTCAACCAACTCCAACAGATACAACTCAGCCTTATTCTTGCAAATGTGGCCTAGTTCAAATTTTTCATCACATTGGAAACATAGTCCCTTAGTCCTTTTCTCACTAAGCTCAGCTGGTGTCACCCTCCTTCGTTTGAACTTTTCATTTCCTGTAGCTTGGAGGTCGAGGAATATGGTTAGCTGGAGTAGTTACTAGTTTATTATAAGAAAATGATTGTGCTGGGAAATTGTTCTAGAACTGGATTGCAAAGGGGATTGTCTCATGGCTTTGGATTGTTTAATGAAGATAGACTCTTGCAATCTTGCAAGGTGGTATGCCTGAGGTAAAAAATAAGGTTTGAGAATCCTGACAACATCCTCTAACTCAGGTTTCAACCATTCTAAAAATATGCTGACAACATAACTGGGCTCCAGATTGAGCCTAATCATGGCTCTATCAAAAGACTCTTAAAATTCAACCACCCCTCCAGTTTGTTTCAGTTTAACTAACTCACTCATAGGGTTATCAAATTCTGCTCCAAACCTATTTGACAATGTCCAAATATACTCCTCCCAGCTTAGGTAAGAAAGTTGCAACTATGACGTGCTTCTCACGTAAGCTCTATGTTACTATAGATCCAAATCATCTAGATGCATTGAAGTCACTCTCACTCTATCATGGTGAGGGACCTCATCCATTGAAAAGAATTGTTCTATCTGGTACCAGTAATCTTGAAACCTCTTTCCCACTGAACCTGGGAAAACCAATCTTATATTGTTTTAAAAGAGAACGTGGTTGTTGGTTATGTGTTGGGGTGTTGTATTGGTATGGTAGGTAAGCAGATGATACAGGAGGTATACGAGCCAAATTTGGAGGTATGGGGTTCTGAAATATAGGGGTGTGAATGGGATTGGTAATAGAGTATGGAATAGAACATGAAACTTGATCATTAGCTCCTGCCATCTGAGGGTGATATTGGGGAATGAGTGCAATTGGGTGTGGTGTGTTATAGAAGCATTGGACAAATTGAGCGTGATCTGCAGTAGCAGTATGGGAAACAGTAGCTGGGATGGGTGAAGTTGAGGGACTAAACATTTGACTGAAATTTGAATTTCGAGCAGTTGGGGTATGTGGAATAGATGTAGAAGGTAGAATTTGGAGTTGGGTGACAGGAATTTGGAAGGTATTAGGGATTTGAGTAATTGGGAAACTAAAATTTTGGCCAATAGCTGGGTTTCGAACACAAGGTAGCTGAAATTTCATATATCTGTTCACATTAGGGTTAGGACTTAATAGGAGAAATGAGATTGGATCATTGAGACCTACCACATCTTGTGGTTCGTCAGTGGGTGAGTACAAATCAACGTGATTCACCACTGCCGAGTTGGCTTCATTGCCCTTACTGGAATTGTGACTCGCTGTGAAAGTCTCCTTCAGCTCACGGAATGCTTTTTCATTTTGCGGATTCCAGTTGATTTTGTCGAAGATTAACATTAGCAACCTCAATAGCTACTCGATCTAATTGATTTAGGCGGACATTATGAGCTCCCACAATGCTGAAAAATGCTCTGATACCACTGACGTAGCTCAAAAATAATAAAGGAAAAATTAAAGAGAATCGGTAAAAGAAGGAAATAGCAGAAGTCATTCTTTTCATAAATCTCATTGAATACCCTTCTGATACATATACCACCCAATTAGAAAGATAGACTTGAGTGTAAAGTAATATAACTAATAGATTTAAGTGTAAATAAGTAAGGGATCAAACTGTCAATATCCTAGTATTATACAACTAACTTAATCATTTATTCCTTACTACTACTAAAGCGTAAAGTACTACTTCCCGCAGCTGTGCACAACTCATCTACTCCTCAAATCATATCAAAATGAAGAGGCCGACTTTATTAAGTGGCAAAAATAATTAAAAATATATACCATCATTATATATTTGTATGAGTGAATTGGGTGAATTGCACAAATAAGGTTCAAGTTCGAATCTAAACACTGGACCTATATCAATTACAACTATCTTAAAAAGAATATCGTATTTTTACATTTAGTAAAATTTTAGTTTTAATATTTTCATTCTTCACTTAATGAAATTTTCTTAGAATCCTAGAGAAATGATATGACATCTCTAAATAAAATATTTAAAGGATATTTTTAATATATGATAATTTTAAAAGGCTTTTCGAAGCCTTGCACGGAGCTTGCCCCTAGGTGGAGCACTTGTGAAACGAGGTGAAATTCAAAAATAGCCAGATTTACAACTGGTCATTCAAAAATAGCCCAATTTCAAAAGTAATCAAAATTTAGCCACTTTTCATGTAAAGATAAATTTGAGCGAAAACATTGTTCAAAACCCGGAAAATACGCCAGTATATTATGCTGGAGTTCCAGCATAAGTATACTTGAACTCCAACATATTATACTGGAGTTCCAGCATAAGTACACTAGAACTCTAGCAAAATATACTGGAGTTCCAGCAAGTATACCGGTCCAGTATAATATACTGGAGTTTGGAGCACCAGTGCTCCAGTCTCCAGTATATTATACTGAAGCCAACAAAGTATACCGGTCCAACATAATATGCTGGAGTTCATACACAGGTGCACCGAACTCCAGTATATTATTCTGGACCGGTCTCTGTTGCAGCAAAATAGTGACTATTTTTCATTGACTTAGTAAACGCTGACTATTTTTGAATGACCAGTCCGAAAACTGATTATACCGTGCTATTTTTACTGTAAAACGCCATGAGGCTCACATGTCGGGCTTAGATTTGTGAGGCTTACGCTCCAAGTACCCGATTGTGCACCTAAAATATGCCTCACACTTCATGCTCGAGGCTTCACCCAGCAATTTTTACATAAATCATGTATTAAATTTCCTAATTACCATTGACCCCTCAAAATTCTTTAAAAAATATATGATAAAAGTTTGATTCTTTAAAAAAATTATGAAGATTGAGAAAACTCAAATAATGAGTGATTGTACTGCATTCTTACTAACTGAGAATATAGTGAGGGTAAATATCGTTTGAACATTTTTTTAAAAATAGATAGCCGAAATTAATATCTTCACTTGCAATTAGTTTTTGTATCTAAGTTCTATATTCAAAATTATCATACTTTTATTGCTGCTTTAAAAGTAATTTTATATTTATTCACGAAAGAATATTATTTTAAAATATAGTACTAATAACGCTTATTGAGTATTTATTTTTAGGGATGTAAAATATGTAGTTTGATAATAATTTTTAATAAATTATGATTTCTTATTTGTTATAAAGTTAAGACGTCGTAGTTAATGTCTCATTATAACTCTAATAATATTGCATATTTTATACTTATAAAAATATGTTGGTGGGCATATATCATAGGGAGAGGGGTTGCGACACCCGAAAACTTTAGCAAAATTTTATATATACTTGAAAATATCTTCAAGAAAATAGTCAAATATTAACAGATGCCTCCTTACCAATCTTCATGACTAGTGATAAATTTATACTGAATGTTTCAGTGTTCCTTTAACCATCGAATCCTTGGTCTGCATTTGCTAGATATTTTATTTTCTATGAATTTTTTTAACTCTTTTTAATTTCTTTTTAAATTTTAATCTATTTTTGTGTTATTATGCTATTTTATTAGTTAATAAATTAAATTTGTTCAAAGATGCAGGAGGCTTTTCACGCTCCGTTTCTTTTTTTTGGAAAAAGGGTTAGATTTATCCTTGTACTTTTAAATATTGTCTATATTTAACCGCGTTATATACTCGGAAATCGGAACAAATATATTCTTGTCGTTACATAAGTATATGACAAATATGATAACGGTATAAATATATTTGTTCCGAAATAACTAAGATTAAATGTGGAAAATATTTAATAGGAGACCAGTAAATCT